TCACGGGAACGTCGAGCTGATCTTCTGCATTTGGGGTCTTCTGATAGCGAGCTACTTGTTGTCTGCCCTGGGAAAAAGAAAAAAAAAAATGCAGGAGCGTGCACCACCTTGCTCCGAGACTGAAGAGCGTGCATCCTCTCTCTCCCGCTCGAAATGTAGGAGTGCTTTTTTTCTGCTCACAAAATGTAGGAGCCCTCGCTTAAGAAGCCCAGCTAAAATGGATGCCTGACCCATGATGACAGAGGGAAAGAGAGATGAGCAGAGCAGGCAAAAAAAAAAGAAAAAGAAAAATCACAGTTGCACACATACAGATGCAGCAATGTGCATGATGAGTTTTACACTCATTGCATCTCACAAAACCTCACATGAACAATACAATATCCTTTTTTTCTGTTATTGTGTATGACCACACTCTAGTCACTGGTCTTCACTCCATTTCTTCACCGTCTCCAAGTCGCTCTTTTGCACCATTTATTTCTCTTTTTGTATTTCCCTTGGAGTCCTTCCATCACTCCCACTCTGCCTCTCTCCCCGAGGTCACTGAGGGCAAGCATGGTGCCGTGGACTGGAGCATGAATATCACGTCGGGCTTTTTCGTGTATTTGCTGGCAGAGCCGCAGCCCGGCATTTCGCCACAGAGCAGGTTTGCCGTCCGTGGTACTCAGAGTGTATTTACATTTTTAAGATGTTGAAGAGCTTTTTGTGCTCCAGAGTTCAGGTTTGCAGCTGCAGTCAGTGCTGTGCTGGCTTTTAGATCTGAGCGAAAGGAGATGGATAGCGGGTAGGAACGCGCGAATCTTATTTTGTCTTTGCGCATACACGCAAACAACTGCTTTGCTCGAGTATTAACATTTTATGCTTCTTTACATTTCTACTTCTTTTGCCTTTTAGCCGTTACATTCAGTACATTTAAACACGGTAAAACATTAATTCAGTATTATAGAATATATACTACCCAACGCTTCGTAAAAGAGTCAAAACTCACCTAATTACGCAACTTTAAAGTCTGCTTACACAGTAAGTCATCAACACAGACAGGCAAAGCACGATGAATAATTAACCCATACGAAGAGTGTTTTCTGCAGGGCTGCAATTTTGCTTAAGGTCTCAGTACTTTTTCATCCACAGTTAAACTATCAGATTTACATTGTAAATATACTGAAATTTATGGCAACACTGTACTTAATTATGATAATGGAAATAAAGCTAATTGGAATTAGCGACCAAGACGGAGGTGAGAGCTCAAAAGAAAAATGGAGAGACCCAAATAGCAGCAGTGACACACCGGTGAAAGTATAGCGGACTAAGGCATGATTACATAAATCACCGAATTGAGGTCATATCCCTCTTTCAAATGTCTTCACCATGAGTCACTGAGTGTCACAAACTCTATGTCAGTGCCTGTCTCTTCCCCACCACTCTGCAGCCGTAGGCCTTCCGAGGGAAGACGACACAGAGAGACAAGGCAGTGGGGTAAGGAAGAGAGAGAGGGAGAGAGTACATTTTTCCTCCTCCACCTCAACCCTCTCTCGGGGTGTCACGTCCTATTTGTGTCCCGGGGCCGCCTCTCTAGCGATGGCGATGGTGCGAGGGGCTCTCTCGCTTGGATGGCGAACAGGGAGGACTTGGTAGCACGAAGCAAAGTCCTCTGTGCTCACATGGGAGAAAGAGCGAGAGAATCGGCAATGGAGGGAGATGCAGAGAGAGAGAGAGAGAGAGAGAAACAGACATGCACCCATTCAGCCATGTCTTTGACATGGGAGTCTTTCCGACAGGCGTGAAGAAAGGAAGGGCTGACTGGGCTGAGTGAGCTCAGCCCTGGACACACACACAAACATGTTTTTGTCACTTAAGAGGACATTGCATTGACTTGCGTTCATTAGCTTCAGATTTAATCCAGCAAGCCACGACTAGCCGCAATGCTAACTATGATCTTTGCTAAATAAAAACATATTAACCCTAACATATTAAGGATTCGCTTTTTGGGGATCGGGTCCCCATGATGTGGATTTGTGACAAGATATCTAACTCCACAAATTGACTAATAGCACACACACCTTTTGCATCAGCCGTCTCACACTCATATACATATTTGCACATGCAAACACGTTTCTGCCTGTCTCTCGGTAACCATCACTTGAACGTCATCAACTTTTTCTTATCTAGAATTTTCTCCCCCTCATCTTTACATCCTTTCCTACCCTCCATATTCTTCCTTCCGTGCCTTTGCTGCCGCTGCCGCTGCTGCAGTGAGAGAGAGAGAAAGCAAAGCCACATAAGGTTATACACAGTGGCATGACGCCATGCATTTTGATTTATAGATCTAAAATGGCCGCCGTGTTGTGACTGCTGTACAAGGCTGGATGGAGAGCGAGGGAGTGGTGTGGGGGTGTCAGGGTGGAGGTGTATGTATACTCAGAATAGCAGACCTTTCCTTGGACGTGGCGCTCCCTTCACACGGAGCATCCTCTGCCCCGGAGGGTTCTCTGCTACTGTGGTTTGGTGGTGATGGCTGATTAATTAGGCCATGATGTACAAAGCTCTTTGCTTGTGCCGGCTGGCTAACCACAGTGCTGGTGGATACACGCAGGAAAATTGGTTCTTCTTTAGCAGACTGCTCACAGTTTGCCTTTTTAAAAGGTAAATACGTCTGTGCTCGTGAGGCTCGGGCTCTGTGTTAAGGACTGCATTGTGTTGTAGTTTGGATTGTGGACACTGGGTCCTTCCTGCAGGGAGATTAGAGCCCTCACATTGTAGCGGCAACCACTGAGGAGTTAGAGGTCAGCTGCTGCCTCAGCCTCTCTGTGGGGTGCAGAGCTTTGATTTACTGACTCCACTGCATCACCTCCAGCAAACCCGAGCACACACGGTTAGTACCACACTGCCTCCATGTGGGCAACATCACACACTACCCTGCTGCTTTTCACTGACATTAGTCTCAGTTAGAAATGATATTTTTTCTGATATTGTCTCCCTCTCTCATCACACAATTACTGATGACCAAAGGTATGAGGTTAGCTTGTTGAACTCTCACAGCTAAATAGCTCTAGGCAGTGAAAAACAGCATACCGCTGCTTCAGTGTGAGTTTTTATTGTTTCTCTTTTCCAACAGACTCATCAGCTCAGTTATAATTAGTAATTTAATCAAAGAAATTGTAACAGTTTTGATGATGGACTGACTGATTTAACAAGCAAAATCTGGTCATGTGGGTTTTTTACTAAGTATACTCACTGTCTACTTTATTGGATGGAGCTATTCAAGTGTTTGTTAATACAAATATCTAATCAGCCAATCACATGACAGCAACTGTATGTATTTAGGCATATATACATGGTCAAGATGATGTGCTGAAGATAAAACTGAATATCAGAATGGGGAAGAAAGGTGGTTTAAGCTGCACAGCCGTCCCTTGGGTTTAGCAGCAGTTCTCTGAATGACAATGCCTTGTTGATGCCAGAGGTCAAAGGTGAATGGCCAGATTTCTTCGAGCTGACAGGAGGGCAACAGTAACACTATAACAACTTGACACAACCAAGGTATGCAGACCACTTCTGTCAGCTTAGAACAGTAACGTGAGGCTACAATTCACAAAATCTGACAACATAGAAAATTGGAAAATGCTGCCTGGTCTGATGAGTCTCGATTTCTGCTGAGACATCAAAATTTGCCATAAATTCCTGAAAACACAAATCCATACCGCTGGTGGAGGTTTAATGGTGTTTCGTGGCACACTTTAGGTCCCTTAGGACCATTTGTACATGGTTGCTAACCATGTACATCCGTTTATGACTGCAGTCAATATGGAGGGATCCAGTCTAGTGCTGGCAATATGTACCCTATCCCTAACCCTAAAGTGACCGGCGAGTGTATAAAAATGTCAACTTAACAGGCACTAATCAATTTTCAACAAACAAAATATGGATTAATTAACCCCAACCCGGCAGTGCTGGTTAATAAAAATGAAAAGAAAAAGAGAGCAGAAGAGCTCTCATAAAACCAAAGTGATGAGCCAAAACCTGCTCAGAAGGACTGTAAAGTTTAGGGATAGATCTTTGAGGTTTGTACAATCACAACCTTTTACACAACACTCTTATCGGATATGTCTTATAAACAACATACTTAATGACTGTGGTTACATGCAGAAGGTAAGAACATGCTCATCCTTCTTGAGCACATTCAGCTCTTGTTTTGTTGTACTTTCTGAGCCCATCTGACACCCCCACAAAGCAAAGCACCTCAGTGCTGCAAACTGCTCTCTCTGAGGTGTAGCAATCTGTTGTACACACAAGCTACTTGTTGCCCACAGACAGTCCCAGTGCAGCTCAGACTTGTTGTTTGTCAGCTCTCAGGAGCACTGATCTAGAGAGGCCTGAGTGCTTGTATTATTAGATAGAGAAAACCACTCAGCACAGCAGGTAAACCTTTGATATATCTGTCAGAGGTGTTTTTCAAGGCGTTATGAGTGTCTATGTGAACGAGCGTGCTGCTTTAGTGGGTTTGAAGCCTTCTCTCAAGGTGTTTAGAAAAGGCTAAGTGTGAAAATGTCTTAAAGAGGCCTCAAAGAGAGCGGATACTCTTTGATGCTTTGTCCCACAGAGAGAGCCACAGAAGCACGCTGCACTACAAAACAAAAGATGTTCCTTTCTTCTGTCACTCAATCACCCTGCTTTCTAGTTGAGGAGCAGAAACTCTTTACTGTATGAGGGAGATGTATTGGAAGTTCACATGCAATACACTACAGAATTTGAAAAAAAAAAACATTTAAGAGGTGTTTTCATTTGAGGAAGCTAAGGGAGTTGGAGAAAGCAATGCTGAATATATTTCATGAGTGTGGTAATGAAAGCAGCGTGGAGAATACAAACCCACGACGTAATGACAATGACTAACCTCAGTCAATGGCATCACTGTGCTGAGCATCAGCTGAATAACAAACAGTGTACACTATGAACAGGTGCTTCAGTTTTAACTAAAGTGGTGAATGTTTGTGTTTTGTCTCTAGGAGCTGGAGAAAAAAGGATATGGTCCCATTACAACTGAGATTCTGGTTGGGCAGCAGTTTTACTACGCTGAGGACTATCACCAGCAGTACCTGAAGAAGGTACCTAAAGGCTACTGTGGCCTCAAAGGCACCGGGATTTCCTGTCCCATCGGCGCCAGAAAGGATGAACTGTGAGCCACGTGTGGTGAGAGAGGGAAAATACTCAGCTCGCAGAATATGTTTATAGGCACTAATTTCATTGTTCGCAGTCCATGCATCTAATTTATTTTCTTTTTCTTATAAATGGACTGTATCTACAATGCATCTGTCTTTATTTGTAAGATAATAACACATTAGTCAACATCATTACTGAGCCCCATATCTGTTATAAGCTTCAGTAATTCCTGGCTGCCTGCCAGCTCTGGAGAATACATACATGTTTAAAACATTTTTGAGAGATTTTCTAAATAAAACAAAACAAAACAAAAAAACCTCGAAAAATTTGGACAGCAATGACATAAAATAAATGTTTAAAAGCTGCATAAAAATGAATTTGAAACATGATTGAATTTTGTATTGCAGTGCTCTTTTTGACTGCAGTAACTAACAGCTTCCAGAGGGTGGCGAGATTTCACAAAAGAAATCCATACGTTATGTATAATATACATATAATGTGGGATGATATTGCAAAGGAAAGGTGTCTAAACATTGTCTTGGTAAACTGGAAGATGAAACGGTTTTCTAGCCTGATCCGTGTAATCCGTCTCACCTCCAACACTGCCACAGCACTGTGACAAAGCGAAGTTTCTTATACTTCTTAGCAGGCAAAGACACCAATACCAGCTTGATTTTAATGCTGTTTTTCTTTAGTTTTTAACTTTTCTAAACACTGCAATTTATTTTCTTATTGCTTATTGCCTTTCTTATTATTACACTGGAAATAAAAATGTTTCTCCTCCTACCTTATGTTTAGTGTGCAGGTGTTTGTGTATATATGTGTCAGTATGTGTTAATTTATGCATATGTCTGCCCACAAAGCTCTGTATATATATACACACAGATATCTATATTTATAAAATAAAGAAAAACCACTGCATAAAGTATTTTATCCCCTTTTCGGCCCCATTTGAGAAGGGACGTACCACCGGGGGGGACAAATGGGTGACTCACTGTGATAAACAGATGCACATTCAAAGGCCATTCATTCTGAGTCACACAATGACACACTTGAATACCCGTGCATTCAATATGATACACGGTTTGCTTAAACTTTCACTCTACGCTACGTAGCCCATAATTAGGAATGAAAGGCTCATTATTTGACATACTTAAAAGAATTGAATTTCCGATTCCGCCTTGTGTGCAGAATTTCTTGTGTGTTTTTTATAATTAAACACATCAACATGAAAGTCTGTTTAAAAATGAAAATCACACACATGGTTACACTCCAAAATACAGAGATGATATCTAGAAAAAGCTTTCTGGTCGACCGCAGTAGTGTGATTCACCCCGCTCTTGTTCTTCCCCCTCCCTCTCTGCTATCTCTCTCTGTCTGTGTGTATGTGTCACATCCTGACACCTGTGTGTAGGTGTGGACCAGGGCACAGGTGCAGGTGCAACCTCTGTGGGCCTATTTTAGTATTGGGACAGATATTTTTGCATGTGTCTGCATGCAGCAGCTCTGTATGTGTGTGCGTGTGTGTCGAGGCATGTGAAGCTGTGGCTTGCTTGATCGAACCGCGCTGAGCGGTGTGTGGTTGGGCCAGCTTGCTGTTTTCCAGTGCCTGCTTATATTTTTGCATTCTGCTTTGCGTCTCAAGTGTGTGAGAGGAGATAACCTTTTAATGAAGCGATCTTCATTTCACCCGTCTTTGACGAAGAGAGTGGCATTAAAGCCTTAATCGTGCTGTGACATCAGGTTTTCCGCCATCTGTGATGATTTCTGACTGAAACAAGAGATGCCTGAGTGAGCCACAGTATGATTCTCCCACAAAGCAGAGATGCCGTTATCACTAACTCAGGTTATGAGTTGATAATACGTAGGGAGAGATTTTTGTGTGGAAAATTACTGGCTTTAACACAGACATGTAAAAACGAGTGCCATTTAGAGTGTAGCTGCGTGAGTAAATGTGTTTTCTCTGTATTCCTTTGTAATAGATTAAAATGGGGCTTGGAAATGCTTGGTACTCTCATGTACGCATCCATACACAAACACAGTGAGGCAGAACAGGACAGGAACCAGGCTGTGTGCGCCCTTCAGACAGAGCCTATTGTCTGCAGATGGGCCTTTAATGGCCCCACAGCTGGCCACAAAGGGCTCACCGCTCCAGCGTGCTGCTTTGCCTCTCACTGGCCTATACTCCAAGAGAGGGGGCAGCTCACATCCATACCAGCATCACGCATTTGATATATTTTTTTTATACTTTTTTGTGTATTTCCCATCCGTTTTTAAACAACTGTGCTCATGAAAATCGTTGCCAGATGATTTGAAGAAAGCTTTTGCGAAGACCTGTAGCACTGTGGAACAGTGGGCTGAAGCTGGTGCTGGTTGTTTATGAGAGGTACTCTGCACTCTTACCCACACGTGTACACACAACCCTCACAAACACAAGTCCCAACCGCTACCTCGAACTCCGTCCTGTACTGCCGCCTAATGCAAAAGGCAGCGCCCACGCAAAAGAAGCAAACACACCAAAAAGACACCTTGCAGAGACGTGCACCCACACAAATTCTTGCACTCTGATATGCTCTCTAAGGTGTCCTCCTTTCATAGCTTTTCATGTATCTTCCCTTTAAGAGCTTCAATCAAGCTAACTTTATTTATATACCATACCCTATGTGCATACACCATTGGAGAGAGCATTGTTTTATACCATTTCCTGTTTTAGATACCATGTGGTGACATAATCTATTGTTTTAGACACCAACACAGCTTTTCTTGGAGAGCTATATATAAAGAACAATAGCACAGAGCGGTGTATACTGGTGCTGTCCTACCAGCTGGAGGATTGTTGTGCCTTCTTGTCCTGCTCCTCACATAATTATGAGAATTTGGAGCGAGGCAACCATTTGGTTGTGTGGGGGTGCGTATCGTCTTCCGCACGTGTGATAGCGAAGGGACGGGAGCGCTTTGCTTTTCTATAGGGCCTGTACATTACTCCGTGATGATATGAGAAGTTGTGTGCGGGTTTTGCAGATGCCAGATGTGTTTGCATCCCCTCTGTTGCTCTCTCTTCCCCTCCCTCTGGTTCCTGCATGGGCGCAGGGTCTCAATCAGAGCATCAGGGCTCCAGGAACCAGAGCACAGCAGTCTCTCTGTGCTGCCCAGAGAAGTGCAGCCTTGTCTGGGTCGATGCATCTGTGGCCTGGGGGCGAGCTGGGGGAAGAGGGCAAACCCTGGTGCCCCTGCATGCCGGTTTCACTCGAGGTCGGCTCTGTTAGTGCAGCCTGACCCTTTAACTCTGAGGGAGAAACACGAGCATATTACCAAATACGGCAGATCAGCTACAGCATGCCAGTCAGTGACAAAGCAGTGATGTTGTGTTTAAAAAATGTACTCTCAAACAGGTTACTTTGGTGCAGAAGAAACGCAGGCTCACACATGTTCACATACACATGTGTTTTCCCAAAAAAGACAGAATGTTATAACTTTGTTCTTCTTTGCCACTGGGAATAGCACTGGGGGGGTGGAGGCCAGCACGTGCTGCAGGGCCCTGTTGGCTGCTAACTGGCCCACAGGCTTTCTGGCTGACAGCCCACTCCGTGACACTCTGCACCTGGGAGCCTGTGTGTTGTCAGCCATGCTAGCTAGCTCAAGCTACCACCACATGACACACAGGAAACACAGAAATAACTGCTGAGTGTCTTCAGCACAGTTATCACGTACTGGGAGTGTGCTGCTGACAGAAAATGGTTGAGAGGAGCTCTTAAAAGAAAGCAGAAAGATGTAGGAGTAATGGCTGGAATTGGACTGAGTAATAGCAGTATGGAGCAAGAAGAGAGAAAAGTGAAAAGAAAATTGAAACACCAAGATGCTTAGGCTCTTGCACCTGTGCCTCTTTGTGTTAGAAGAAGATTCCACTGGCCTTGATTCAAACACTGCTGAACATTTCTCTGACACATGCAATGCATCCTGTTTATCATGTCATTTTTATAATCAAGCCACTACAGAGATGATTGTGTAACAATCAAAAGATTGACATTTTGCAGCTGGGGCGCCCATATAACAGATAAATTTCCAAACCATCTCTCTTTTATGTAGTGTGTGTGTGTGTGTGTGTGTGTGTGTGTGTTTATAGCGTTATCTGCTCTGTCCATCAACTGCTTGAGTCATTGCAGCTTCACATCGCGCAGGTGCGCAAGTTAAGTAAACTCTTAAAATTGCTAGCAAGCTCTCAATTAGAGCTCAGTGCAGGAAAGTATTGAGAAACGTTTGGGCTTTCAGGTGGCAATGTGCTGATGTGTAACCATTCTAAGGAAAGAGGGCAGAAACAGGACACACACACACACACACACAGTCTTTGCATTGCAACATGCGCAAACTGTTTTCCGTGTGCTTGCCACAGCCAACTAATTTCTGTCAACGGTGCAGATTGAATCTTGGGTTCAGTTTCCTGATGAGACTCATCATAAAGATGGTGGCATGATGATGTTGCCTATTTGCAACTAAATATATGTTTCTGTCTAGGAAGTGGCGACAACAAAGGAAGATTAGAAATAAATGTGTAGGAAATGAGTAGATGGTGGGAGAGAAAAAGAAAAGGGAGGAGAGATGGTGCTCGCTGCACCAGGAGGAAGCTGGGTCTGATGCCACTCCATGCAGCTGCTCCCAAACACCCACACTCTTCCTGTTGGAGTGTGTGCATATGTGTGTGTGCGTCTATGTTTAGTTTTTTTGTATAGAAATTTACCTCCAACAGGTTCCAACACAGAATTATGTCATTCTGTGAAACATTTCAGTTGATGCACGCAAAAAGAAAATTATAACCTCCAATGGTGTATGAAAGAGAAAGGGTTCAGCAGTGATGCACGAAGACTCTTGGTATCCTACTGAAGACGTAATTTTCTCCTGTGTGGCTAAGGCCCTCTGTGTCTTTTCAAAGAAATACTGGCCTCAAAAAACATCCGCTGGTGGAAACGCTGGCCTGTCAGTCAGTGAATGGAAAGGTTTGAGGTGAGAATGTGGCCACATTGAGGTGTCAGGGTGTGCAATTGTGTATGTGTCAATATATGAGTTTGGCGGTCTCTCTAAGTTTCCAATACAATAAAATGCAAAGGGTTTTCGTTAGCCACATTGCTCTTGTGCTTTTCACTGCACATTTGTCTCTGATCACACTGACCTCTGACATATACATAGTAACATGCACCATGTGCATCATTTCCTATTTATAGACCTCTGTGGGAGAAAAAATATATATCAATACCTCAGAACGTTCAGCATATACATGATAAGTAACTATGACATATTAGACTATTAATGGCTTTGCATTTTCCTCATTTAACTGAATATTAAAAGTAGCAAAGCTGCTTCACCCATAAGAGTTTTTACAAAGACTGATAAAAAAAGCAAAGGCAAAAAAGGTTAAATGTATGCAACTTAATGCGCATTTATCAGTGAGACACCATCAGGGTTGTTACTTTAGATGCAGCCATAATGTCCCATCGTGTCAGCTGATCAAATGTTGTCCTATAATGGGCTATTAAATTGGACTGGGTCAGTGGGATGATTAGAGACTTGTGCTTCTGATTTTTGTTGTTTTTTTATTGCTTTTTTTTTTTCTTTGCAAATCTCCTTGATTGTTCATGATGATCCGAGTACTGTGTAATGGTCTATAGTAGACTATTACACAGTAGTGCAAGTTGGTGTGTGATTCTTATTGAAGATAATCAGATTTTAATCAATTAATAGCATAATATGTATGCCACAATTTAACATACATATGGTTTTTTTTTCGATCCCTAAGACT